CTGCTGCTGAGTTCAAGACTTAAGTTCATGTGACATAACGAAGGCCGCGAGTCGTTTGGGTCGTTCCTAATGCGGATTTAGATCCAATAACTATTGGAGGACCTCCCCAAAGACCCCCCAGTTTGGTACAAACGTCACATAATCGACAAAAGTCTTGCAGGCTGTCACCGATCAGTTTCCTTCTGTCCAACCGCACTGTTCTTTTTCTACTGTCCTCTTAAAGGATAAAAACAAAGTAAAATGACTATTCATACAGTATTTTCTATAGAACACATTTCTTGGCAATTTTTTTATAGATGAATGGCAGCTGTAGCTTTCCTTTTTCCTTTGGAATCATCTTCCGAATGCACTCGGCCTACCCTGTGATAACATTCCTCAGGACGTTTATTGAAAACCAAGATCAAAAGAAAAATCAGATGTTTTCCTTTCTTTATATTCTACACTGTAATAAGACCTGACCATATAGGCCTTGCTATTCTTTAATGTCTGTATGTATTCACTGACCTCGTTAAAGCTGAATAAGACGTCAACGAAGCCTAGCAGAAATGTAACCATTCTGTTTCCATTTCTTGGGCATCAGGGGCTCAAAGTGAACCCGACAGGTCAGAAAGAAAGGAAACAACCGTAAAACATGTGCAGTCAGACACCTTTTAGCCCCGTTTGCGTGCATCGTTGTTCTTTTCGAAGGGTGGAAATTTTTTGTTTGTTTTAGAGCGCCAACAACTTCTCCCCGTGATAGGTCAGTGGGTAACGCATTTGTATGCTCTTCTTAGGGACATGTTCTGGTTAGGTTCGAATCCGGGCATAGATATACTGCGTTTCGCACTAAGAGCCAGACGTCTGAAGAAAAGCCTTGGCGATACCGGGCGTAAAACTGAAAATACCAAGAGTGTGGTAACAGTCTTGTCTAAAACAATGCAATAGGTAACACGATTGAAAACTAATGTCTAAGGAGGAATTTCTATTGTCGTAGCGTATGTGATAAGACCACGGCTCTATATA